TCCCTTCCAACCAAGGATGTTCTATGATTCCATGACAACTCACACAGTTCCAGTGGCTGTGGCATTCTCAGCTGCTGTGCATGCATCAATGTCCTGCCTGCAAATTTAGTTTCTACCTGCTTTGTGTTCTCACCAGTGCTACTGCTTGATCCCCTGGAGGTATTAGGCAGCCCTCAGTATCAGAGTCTGAAGGATGAAGCTGAACATTTGATAGTGGGCAAGCAGAAGTTCATTTTCTCTTCCCAGGTTAAATTTTTAGGCTAGAATCAAGCCAGCTGCTTGAGAAGAGCAGCAGATCTGTTTTAGCAGGCAGAGTGAAGCCACAGGAGACCTGATCATAAAGTCAATGCTTCTCAATAAAGGCAGATTTTAACTAAAGGGGGAAAGCAGAGGATACAGGAGCTGAAAAGAGAAGGGAGATCAAGAAGGAAGAGTTCCAATTCTTCTAATAAGCACCAGACTGAGGAACAGGAGAGATCCTTTTCTTACTTGAAATATATAGAATTGTCCCTGAAGAGAAAAACAGGGTAAACCTTCCAAAGAATAATAACTTCACTACAAAAATAGTTTCAAAGAGAAAAGAAACAAAACCCCAGATTCAGCTATAACATCAGTATTGCCATTGGCTGACAAACTGTGACAATGCAGGACACATCAAATTCAGAGGAATCATTCTGACATCTCTGAAGGCAAACTTGTTTCTTTCAAAATGAGTGATTCTGACTACCTGAGCGGTTTGAAATGGACATGGAATTCAGACAAAGTAAATCTAAAAGCAACAATGCATCACTTTCCAAAACCATAATTATTTTGATCTGCCTTTGTATTACTAAAAATTGCTTCAATTCAATGTAAATGAGTATTTTCTCAGTGTTGTCAGCAAAAAAAAAACTAAGTCAGATAATTTGCACAATCTAAGTGAAGCTCTAGTAAAAGAAAGATTAGGTGCACAGAGCAACAGCATCTACAGACAAAGTCTTGCAGTAATGCAGGCTGCAGGTTCCGTAGAAGGCATCACCATATCCCATTAGGCTAAAGGAATTAAAGATACAGGCATGGGTGTCCTGACAGCTTTGGATGCACTCTAGAGTGTCAAAAAGAGACAAAAACTGTCAGATCAGCTCTGATTCAGGTTGCAGGTAGCCCTACACCATGCCCTTTACACAGGAGTTTGTAAAAGTCTCAGGATGGAATAACACACATCTCTGCTTCAGGACTAATCCCAAAGGACTGTCTGTAGGACTCAAACTGCTATGTTTCCACCTAAATATTCAGATGACATCTTCCAATTTGTTCTGTGGTTTTGCATGCCAGGATGCAAGAAGTACCTTAGAAAAATTTTTAAAAAATCCAAATCTGGCCACATGCACTGTGCTTTGAATTTGAGCTGGCAGTGGGAATCTGATGCCTTCCTAAAAGAACTGGAGGTGATGCCTTATGCTTCCCTGGCAGGGTCATATTAACTGAGCTGGCAGATTTGATAGAATTAGATTTCTTTTTCGAGCTGGTACAGCACTGTGATGTGTCAGCACACAAAGTATTTCAGATAAGTAAGATTAAGTCCTTGATTGAAGATCCAGCCTCTAGAAATAATGCAGTGTCCTTTAAAAGGGAAAACCTTTGTTTTGTATTGGTTTACAAAAGCTCTAAAAACAACAACAAAAAAAATCCAGAATTCCATGGCTCCTGGAAAAATGTCAGTAGCAATTATATAGTCCAGAGACATTTTAAAATTGCACCACACTTAATAACTCAGTGTCACTGTGCCAGTTTTTACTCTGCAGAACAATCCTCCAAAAGGATGGCTAAGGAGTCTACTGCAGGATTTTTGGGGATACCAGGAGTATGGGTGGTCACCTCCATGCCAGCAGCAGTCCTCTGTCAGGCAACAGCAAGGTGGGAAATGTTGTGCTTGGACCCTGTGGGCTCTAACCTGTCCCCCACAGGCTCTTCCTTGTCCTGCTGGGACAAAGGACTTCCAAAGAGATGGAAAAGTTACTACAAAAAACCCCAAAAATTTCTATTGAGATTATGTCCTCAGAGAAAGACAGCTACAATTCAAGCATTTGTCACCAGGTGAAGATTTCAACCACTTATGTTGTGTCTCTTTTGCATTCCAGGACACCTTGCAATTGCTTGGCAGAAACAGCTGTGGGACTGGCCCAGAGAAACAGATGTGGCTTGATGAGGTTAACAGGTTTCCTGAAATAGCACAACTCCTCTCTGCTCACAGGTTTGGTCATCTCATACACAGGGCACAAATCTTCCTCTCCCCAAGGAAGGACATGCACGTCAGTCCAGATGAAGCAACTTAATCACAAGCAGTTCAAAGTGAAACAAAGCCAGGAAAGAATTGCTTTCCACCCTCCTTTCACCCAGAACTGCATTTTAACAATTACTACAGTCTTTACAATCGATGACATTCCTAATCTTAACTCATGCTTCAGAGCAAGCTTTTACCAATACTACGGGGGAATTTATTTTAAAAAACCTCCCTGTCTGTCAAGGCCCCCCATTTTCCACATTCCACAGCTATTTCACAGCTTGAGAGGGCTGTGACTTAAAACAGCTTTTCAAAGTTTTATAGGACATTTTACACAAGTGACTGCTACTTACAAACCCGAGCATGGGACACTTGGCACCAGTGGGAAGAGAAGGCTGGGTAAGAGCGGGAAAGGTGACCAGAAGGGTGACAGCAGCTCCCCTGTGGCTGCTGTTCATTAGTGCCAGGTCAGCCCAGAGCAGTTATCAGGACAAGATGGGTCACAAGAAGGGAGAACTTTGAACAACTAACAGACGTACATCCTGAACAGAGACCACTTATGTTGATAAGGTTATCTATTTCATAAGATAGAAGTTTGTGCCCAGAAAACACACACAGCTCCCACAGGGCCAATTCAGTTGCCAAACACATTTCAGGTGCCACTGAAGATACCTTGGACATCAAACCCACCCTCCTGAAGTCTCAAATACAACACCAGGTGTCAGGAGACAAGGACAGATATTCCAGGGCAGATCAAACAGCACTCAGAGACTGGCTGAGAAGCCAAGGTCCCTGAAGCCTGGTAGGAGATTCCCAGCCCTCTGGAGCAGATATGCTGGGCGATACAGAGCAGACACCTACTGGACAGTGAATCCCAAGCTAGCCCAGAGAGGGATGCAGACAGGCTCTGGATGGGCTGCAAAGGCAGCTGTCCATCCCACCAGTGGCAGCAGGCACACCATTCCTGCCAGGACTGGAGAGGCAGGTGGGAGCTGTCACATCCCTAGGCTTGCCACGGCCTCCATGGTCTGTTGGCTGCTGCCACAGGCACTGGGGCAAAAAGAGCAATACAAACATTTACAAGAGCATTTTGCCTGCAAGGCTGCATGTCTTGCACAGGAAATGTCTGTATGGGTCAAGGAGCTTTCTCCCTGTTGTAAGCAATTCCTCAGAATTTTGAGCTGGCAGATAACCCCAGAGTTTACTTTCAGCTTGCATACCTGTGATTAGATTTTCATTTTTCAGTTAGGAGGCACACCATAAACATAACAGACAGGCTTTGATGCAGCCAGGCAAAACTGCAGCAGAGGGGGTGAAGTATCTCTGCCATACTTCACCTTAATTCCTGGAACCCATTCCCATGTTTTAATGGCCTATATCAGGAATCTCAAATCAGTTGAAAATATATCTGCCTCTCTGCTCCTTGCAAGCTTGACTGAACACAGGCTGTTCAGCAAATATTTTATAGTAAATAAAACTAGTTTATAGTAATATTTATATAAAAATATAGATATTATTAGTACAAAGCTAACTGGGCTTGCACTGAAAGGTTCCACCAGAGTATCTTGGCAGAGGGGCTGGTTATTAAAAATAATTCTTTCACTTAAGAAATACTTGTAGGTAAAAACTTGACCCCCGACTTCACCAGTTCATCTATCTGCTGCTTCAGATGAGACACTAATAGTCCTATGCTGCCTTCTGCAAAGAATAAAAGAGACAGAACATCAGAAAATTAATTAAGTCTGGTATGAAAAAGAAAAAAGTTGAAGAAACTACATGTGACAGCGTTGAAACAAGACAAAAAATGCATCCTTTTCAGAGTTCCCTCAGCCAGAGCCATGAAAAGCTCCACCAGGTGGTGGGATTAACAGTACTTGAAATATGCTGTGGAGCTGAGTTTGCTCTCTCTCCTTTGCTTTTTAAAAGCAGGTTTCTGCTTCACTACGCTTTTGAAAATAGGTGCAAAAGATGTTCCAAGTAAAAATTTATTTCTACTATCATTTAATGGCACCATTTTCAACTCACTTGACATAAAAGAGGTTTTTATAACCAAGAAGAGGGAACTGCCATCTGCACGACCTTAATTTCCTCTCAAGCTGCTCCTAGTTTTACATAAACAAAAAAAGAAAATTGATAAGCACGTACCAAGACTTACATAAAATTATGTTTAGTTTGAAAAGCAACCTTCCTCAACTGAGAGGCCGTTACCATTAGCAGTATAATGAAGTTTGGAAGAAAAGCTGTAAAGAAGGTCTCAAGTTTGTTTCTGGCCAAGATGTGTAACAAATTCTTACAAACAGGGCAACTCGCTGTCTCCCCTGCAGAATCAGATTGTGCACCAAGAGAGTGAGCCAAAAGAATAAGTAGTACAATTTCTCTCTTCTTTTGCACTTTCAGAGACAATGCTTCTAGACACTGCTAAGCAAAAAGGTAAAATAAATGTGTATTAGCAGAACTGTAGTTTAAAAACTTCGTGGTAACTTCAAAGCTGATTTGGCAGAACCATAGACTGGGACTTTGTTGAGGCACAGGTCCCTTAAACCTCCTGACACAGTAATGTTACTCTATAGCAGCACCAAAACAGAGTAAATGAAGTGAGAAATTAGCAGAGGAACAGAACACCAAGTTCACCACAGACCTGTGCCCGGACTGTGTTGTTTCCAGGATAATCAAGAAAACACACGCTATTAACTAATAAACAAATTCATTCTTTTTATTCACATCCAACCATCTCCTTCACCCCCCGGACATGTGCTCGAGCAGATTAGAAACTGTCAGGCTCCCAGATAGGTCCAGAAAGGACCTTAAGCACAGCCGTGCCCTGCAGATAACATCCTGCCTCTGCTGAAAGCAGGAAAGGGAGCCCAGGGCCACCCCCAACTTCTGACACCAGAGCAGCTCTGTGGAGGCATTGGGCACAGTGGGCAGAGCACTGCCAGCTCTGCACTGGGACACAAAAATTGAGGAGGGCTGAACACACTGTCTTGTGGAAGGTGCTGGCTGCCATGGGTGGCACAGGATGCTGTGGGTGTGACAAGCCAAGTGTTTCCAAGCAGATGCTTCACACAGAGCCACCCCTCCAGCCGAAGCTGTGTAAATAATGTACCGGAGAAGCGTGCTGCTAATTGAGTACCTCCCGAAATGCCAAGAGGCAGGAAGACTCCAGTTAAAGGCAACTCTTCATTTTAACTTGTGTCACTGAAGAGCACTAAAGTAAATGAACTCCTGAGGACAAGATCAAAGTAGAATAAGAGACTCTTTTTTTATATCCTTGAATCTCCTGTCCCTTTTGTACACTGAAATTTAATTTCCTTTTCAAAGAGAGCTTTTGGAGCTTATGAAAATTGACCCAAAAGATTACAAGGGCTTTGTCACCCTTCCAATCTCTCTGAAAGATCCATAATTAGGGAGGTTTTTCCTTCAACATATGTGCCCAGCAGACAAATATATAATTCAGACTTACAATTGCATGAAACAGTTATTTCAGTATATTAGATACATACAAGCCCAAACATCACAAAGAGTTGAAAAATCTTGTGTGCTTCAAACGAGTAAATATGCATCCAGGCTTTTTTTTTTTTAACTGGCTTGTTTTCATTTGTGCCAAGGCTACACACAATCACACTAAGGACCTGGGACAGATGTTTGCTACTAGGATAAATATACCAAGTACAATAAAAACAAACGGCTGACCTCGAGGAGTAGTTATTTATGCTCCTCTAGAAATTAATTCTGCAAGGAGGAATGTGCGAGCGGATACCTAAGACAGCTATTCTGCTTTTTGCCCTCTAACGGAGTAACCCCGGCTTTACTCCTCCGGCACACAGCCTTCCCGGGGGAGACAGCAGTAACACGAACCAGCCAGGGTGCAGGTCTGCGCCGGGCAGGACCGGTCCCTGGGGCAGCTGGAGGGGGTTCCCCGGCGCTGTCGCCCCCCGAGCATCGCCCGAAGGTGGCCCCTTCCTCCGGAGCCCACCCCGGCACCCGCCGCCTCCCCTCTGCCTCCCTCCAGTGGGGAAATCCCGGCTGGATGGGGAGAAGCCTCCCCGCTCCGGAGCGCCGGGGGATGCTGCGAGCAGCGCCGCGGCCGCCCCTGCTTCTAAATCACAGAAATAATTTTTTCAAAAACCCCAACAACTCAACAGCCGAGTGAGGAGGCTGGGAGGCTCCCACCGCGCCTTCTGCAGCAGCGGGGAGCGGGGGATTCGCAGGTAAGCGGGGAGGAAGGCAGGGAGGGAGGGACGGCGTCCCGCGGTACTCACGGTGAGGTGCGGGGGGCCGGCGGGCGGCCGAGCCCCATGGCCGGGGGGACGGACGGACGGACGGACGGACGGACGGACGCTGCTGTGGCTGCCGCCGCGCTGTCTGCGTGTCTGGCTGTCTGTGTGTCTGTCCGTCTGGGTGCCGGCCCTACCCGCCGAGCCGCTCCGGGCGCCCCGTCCCTCCCCTCGCTCCCTCCCCGGCGCTTCCTGCCCGCTCATATAGCGCGCCCTCGGCCACGTGGACGGCGCGGGGCCCCGCCGGCTCCTCCTCGGGGCCGGGCCGGGAGGGGCGGACCCCCCACCACCACCCCCTCATCCCCTCCCCTCATCATCACCCCCATCTCACCCCCCCATCAAGCCCATCTCACTCCCCAAACACCACCCCCCCATCACTGCCCCTATCACTGCCCCCATCACTGCCCCCATCCCGCTTCCGTCGCCTCCCCCCGGCCGCTGTGCAGAGTAAAGGTGCGATGCGAACCCGGACTCGCCCCGAGCGCCCTCGGGGTGTGCAGGGTAAAGGTGCGATGCGAACCCGGACTCGCCCCGGGATGAAATCCGGCTCTCGTCGGGTCCTCCCTAGAGAGTCACCTCCCAGGAATGTCTGTGTTCGCCAAACTGCTGTGTCTGAAATTGGGCTGCGTGGATCGCAAAGGTGATCGCGGCAGGGAAAGTGGAAAGAAATTCGGCGCTTCTCAGGGCAGAAAACCTATGTGGCATCGCGAATAAAAATAGCATATAGTCGATATTCACAGTGTCATAGAATGGTTTAGGTTGGAAGGGACCTTAAGGATAATCTGGTTTCGACCCCCCTGCTATGGACAGGACACCTTGTATTAGACCAGGTTGCTCAGAGCTCCGTCCAGCCTGGGCTTGAACGCTTTGACGGATGGGTCATCTGCAACTGGTCTGGGCAACCTGGTCCCGTGTCTCACCACCCTCACAGGAAAGAATGTCTTCCAAATATCTACTTTAACCTACTCTCTTTCATTTTAAAGCCATTCCCCCCTTGTTCTATCACTACATTCCCTTGGGAAAACAAACAAACAAACAAACATTTCCAGCTTTCTTGCAGCCCCTGTAGATACTGAAAGGTGCTATAAGGTCTCCCCTGTGACTTCTTTTCTCTGGGCTGAACAACCCCCACCCTTAGCCTGTTTTTACAGGAGAGGTACTTCAGCCCTCTAATTTCTGTCCAGCATCAGACATTTTTAAGGTGACCATAAAAAAACGTAGAATTAAAAAAGAAAGCAGCATCATTAAATAATTCCCCAGGCAGATACATTGAAGTGATAAAGCGCCTGCTAAAACTATTTAACAACATAATGCTGGCTTTTTTAGTGTCGATGTGTAAAGACTGGAGCCATGAGATGTGTAAAGACTGGGGCCATGACTAGAAGTGGGGGGATTGTAGCACCTCCAAAGAAGCAAATGATCTCTGATCTTCTCTCCTCCACCCTTCCGTAGGCAGGCAAATATGCACAGTGAACATGTACAGCACATATCAGAGGGGAGAATGCATTCCTGAGCTCTGAAAAACATGTTCTGTAATGCTGGACAGCCGGTGCACAACTCCCTTTGTGAAGCAGATGAGTTTACAGGTGATTAATTTAGTTAATGAAACTGCCCACATTGTTGGGTTCTTAAATCCAGCGCCAGGTACTTCCAGTGGAAACTGTAACGTGCTATGTAGGAGCTGTAATTCATCAATCACCACCGAGCTTGTTTCCATAGAGTTATGTTAGTAAAAGCTTAAGTGTGGATTTACACTGGTGTCACATCATGTACAGCGCTGTGCAGACATTTGCATGCGGGTCAGAGCACCTGTGACAGCCTGAGCTCTCTACTTAGGGAGCATAAGCCCAAACAAGCCCTTCAAGGGACTCACCCCATCACTAAATCCTGCCTCTGGATCCTGAAGAGCAGCATAGTGTTATATCCTTCATAAACAGAGTTTGGAAGGGATTTAATCTACAGTAATGAGCATTAAAAAAAAAGAAAAGTGCACATTAGTCTTCTTTTACGAGGAATGTATCAATACAAGGAATTATTGTGTGGTGGAAACAGTCTATTAAATAGCTGTTCAGTGCTTTTTCCCAGGAGCTGCTTGACACTTTGCTGGAGGTGGGATGAGGAGCTCCAATTTGATCGTCTGCTAGTGTCACTGTTACCTTTTTGCCTTGACACTCTCCTACTTTCAGGCAAATTGGTTGAATTTGGTGCTTCATTTGCTTCACAATAATAGTGAGTGACTGGGACTGTTTACAAAAAAGAATCTCTGGGGAACAGCTCACCAGTAATAGGGTTGTGCATCAGGTTTGGGGATTTCTGCCAAGCATTTCTGCAGGGAGGGACGGAGTGAGAAAGTGATGAGAAAGAACAGTCTGAGCAGTCTGCATTTCACTACCTGTTGTACCACACCTGGTCTGTCCATGAGCTCAAAAAAACCCAGCAATGAATCTAGTAAAACAGCTGATTTATCATCATACGACATACAAAGTTTTACTAGGTTGGATCAAGGAAAGCTTAACCCAGCAGCCAAGAATGTCCTAATTATTAATAGTTAATCAAGCTGACACTGGCACAGGTTGCCCAGAGAAGCTGTGCATGCCCCATCCCTGGTACTGTTCAAGGCTGGGCTGGATGGGGCTTTGAGCAACCTGGGATAGTGGAAGGTGTCCCTGACCATGGCAGGGGGATTGAGATGAGATGATCTTTGAGTTCCCTTCCAACCTAAACTATTCTATGATTCTGTGACTGAAGAAAGAGAGTGAGAGATATTTTTTTCTGTGTTTTCAGTCCCATCTCTGCACCATTTCTCTGGAGCACACAAGAGATAGGATATGGTTCACCTCTCCAGCCACACCAACCTTGGTCACAAGTTGCAAGGAGGAGATATGGAAGAGAGCTCTGCAGTGGCTGGGTTTGCTCAGAAAGGCTCCTTTCTATAAATCAAGGCAGAAGAGGAGTGTGTTTGCCCCAGAGATACTTCAGGGAGGCATGACACAGTAACAGGGGTGTAATGTGGTGCAGAGCATGGAGAAGATCCGCAGATCTCTGCCAGCACCTGGCTGAGCCAAGAGCAGAGAACAAGACCAAATCCACCTGAAACAGCAACTGTGGAGCCTATTTCTCCTTTTTATATCACTGTTACACTCACTTAATTCCCTCAGATGCTCTCAACTTCCCTGATGCACCTCAAGGAGCGTGGAGGTAACAAGTGCTCTCTGATAATGCCATCAAAATTACAGCAGGGTCCAACCCAGCGTGCTGGATCTGATCCTCTCATGCTGTAGCATTTCACTAGCAAGTGTCATTTAGATGGTTTTGGGAAAGAATCCAGGATTTGTTTCACAGACAGTATTTCCTCAACAGCTCAGTGAATATGGAATATTTTCAACTAACCATGCAAATCTTGCTTGTCATCTTATGTAGAGAAACTATATCTGTTCTAAAGTCTGGGCCAGGGCTTTCACTGCTGATGGGGGATAGTTATGCAGACTTCAAAGGAGCTGTATCAGCTTTTACCAAGTGGGGAGCTAGACCTTTATTCATATTTTAAAATTCAGAAACTGTGCCTAGGTAAAGCATTTTTCTCTATATTTTTAAGTAGCCAGTTTTTTTATTTTATAGCTGTTCCCTCAGTGGCAGGATTGTTTCGCAGTAGTCAATGTTTAAAGGCCCTTCAAGGCTGAAGGAATTAAAAATGAATAATTTAAAGCTGGTCTATGATGCATAATTTTTAACATATGTTTTACAGACCATGTGGAACACTTTTTGACTTGTCAGTAGATATTTTACAAACATGCTGTGCTGGAACCAAAACCTTTTTTATTTAAGAGTTAGATTTGAGCCCTCCTATGCTTCAACACAGCAGCATGCTGGAGTCTGCAAGCCATAACACGGAAACCATTATCACCAGCACTGATCAGAAAAGAGGAGGAATGAAGCAACTGCAGAACTTTTTTTCTCTTACACACACTGTAAACCCCATGTGGGGAGAACTGGATCTGCCATTTTAAGAAGCCTCATCCCAAGGCAGGGGTAGAGGAGCTGTGATTTGTTTGCTCTGAGGTTCCAAAAGGGATGGACCTATGTGGTGCTGGAGAAGGAAACATGAAGCATGTTGTCTTTGGGTTATTTTTTGAAGGATGGCTGGAGTATTTTTTTTGCCAATCTCCTGTTAAGTCCCTAAATATTGTGCTAGGAACACTATCTGAATAATTCTGACAGTTTTAATAGGCAAAGCTAATTGCTGGTGAATAACAACCTTTTATGGATTTCATTTCTTGTCCCTTTCTGACTGCTTGCAACAAGAAAGGGAGGAGACATCTACCCTGCAGATGCTCAAAGGCAGCCTTAGTTTCAACCTTGTTGACTGGTTCTCACACTCTTCCTTGTTTTCCTGGATTGTCCAGATTTTCATTTTTATTTTAAAGTTACTCCATATTTGTAGCTAAAAATAAATTGGTTTGGTTATTTCAAAATCTTCTTGGGCCCAAACCAAATTTCAAGTGTTTCACAAAGCTGTAAATGAGGCAGTGAACTGGGGAAGGGAAGATTTGGGCTCATGTGTGCTCCCCCCTCATTAGCTCTCCCTTCAGTTCATAATCCATCATCTTTCAAACAAGCCAATTGCCATTGTGTCTAGAAGTTAAAATAGAAAATCAGCATTTGGCATGTACACAGTTGCCAAGAAGCTATTTCTCCTCGCCTATGTAAATAAATTGTCGTTCAAAAATGGTTGGCTTGCTCTAAAAGATATTCTAAGTGCTACCACTGCACTGTGCTCCCAGTGGGAGGCAAGAGGAGAGGATCCAGGAGTGTGCCCCCATCCCCAGCTTCTCCCACTCATTCCGTTGAATGGGACTGTTCTTTGCACTGGCCAAAATGCCACTGGATAGTTCCTGTCCCAGTGAACAGAGCAGGGGTGATTACTGACCTTGCTGGCTATGCCCCCAGGTCAGGACCAAGCTCCACACAGGTGGTTCCCTTTAAAAGGGATTTACTGGTAATCTATATATTTAGATTAGCTACTGATTTGTGTTTATTTTACACCATACAGAACACACCTATTGATCAGTATGACTTGACATGAAAGAGATTAAATACTTCTGAACTTTATAGATACGAATCTAAGAAGATTGACCACAGACAGACTGTGCACAATTTATTTGTTCTGACTGGCAGAAGAGACAGATGGTCTATGTACATATGACAGGTGATATATGTATACCTACCTAACCTCCACTGAAGAGGTTCATCATGTTCTGTGTTCAAATGTGTAAGAGTCACTGCCCTTATTTTGTATAACTTGCAATAGTAACACTTGATACACCGTTCTAACAGACTTGATAAGGCTGTTTGGTGGCTGTAGACTTTGCCATAGTGACACACAGCTTTATCATGTCTGGCTTGGTCTTCTCATTTTTATTTTTTTTTTGGAAACCACACCCCACACTTCTGACAGATATCACAGAGTCTTCCTTGTTCCAGAGTCTTCTAAAAGCAAGTGGTAAGAGTGCTGGTTTAAAGCAGGCTTTTAGATGCCATCCTCAGCCTCCATGCTTCACACAGCCAGGCTCTGGCACTGAGGTGCATTAAGAGCAAAGAGAAGAGAAACAATAAACATCCCTGCTTGCTCTTGGAATTTAAATGGTGAGGAGTTGCAAGAGCTCAGTGGTACTGACACACAGTCAGTGGTGTCAGCCTCTGTTTCGCAGGACCAGGGTGCAGGCCCACATCAGAGACAGCTGTGACATCAGAGAAAGATTTCTTATGAAGCCAAACTATCACACAGAGAAGTGTTTTTACCTGCTAGGACTCATTAGTGCTGTATACAGGAGCATTGGCTATGGGTAAAGGTTGTGATTTGGTACAATCTGCTCTCAATAAATGTCTGTGAAAGTCAGAGAAACCTTTCAGTATTGCAGCATGTAAAAACACACAGTAAACACCAAAAGCCAGATTTGCAGAAATATTCAGCAAATCTGGAGCTCCCACAAACACATAAAAACCTCTCTGTGCTATGAAATACTTCTTCGCTTTTGTACTCTTGGATAAATGCAAGTTTTGCTATAAGGAGAGTACAAAGCCTGAGAGGAATACTAAACACTTAAAAAAATTTTAAAAGGCACTGATGGGATATGATAATAGAAAAAAACATAACACAGGTAGGGAGTGGAATCACCATCTTTGAAAGTGTTCAAGAAACAAGATAATATGGCACTTATGGCTTAGTGGGCAGAGTCAAAGGTTGGACTTGATGATTCCAGAGGTCTTTTCCAACCTAAATGATTCTATGATTCTACCTCTGTCAGGATACAGGAAGATTAAAATACAAAACCAGCTGGCCATACATATTTTACTGCAGAAGGCAGAAATGTCGTAAGCACCTAAAACAATGATTCTATGATTCTACCTCTGTCAGGATACAGGAAGATTAAAATAATACAAAAGCAATTGGCCATAAATATTTTACTGCAGAAGGAAGACATGTCATAAGCACCTAAAATGAGGATAAAGGTAAGCAGCTACATGGCAAAGAGAGGCAGCCATGTGGACTTTGTGTTTCACAGATTGAACACATGTAGCACATTCAATATCTCCAATATAAATGACCCTTCTTTGCAGTTCAGATGTCACCTACAGAACATCACAGAAGTAAAATAAACCTAATTTACCTTTGGCCATCTGGATCTCACAATGCCTTGAGTACCATCTATTCCCAAGCACAGACTTGAAAATATGTGCATTAAGTGATTGGGAAGTTATTAGCATAATGTAATTTTATTTCATTTCACTTGTCCCCAGGACAGTCAGGAATAAACCAGAAGGTGAAATTAGACCCAGAAAATAAATGTTGTTGATTAGGTTGAAGTGTTTATTAGGCTTCTGTTTGAATTTCCAGCCCACAAGAAGAATGGCAAGCAAAGCCTGTTAAAGACACATTTTGACAAGAACGCATTTTTCTGTGGATCCAACAAAATAAATATAGTAACACAGAAGAACCTTTTAAAAGTCAGGCTTATGTGCTTGTCTGATCAGCACCAGCTAACAGTTTCATCTCTCCTGAATGTCACAGAAGCACACGAGCTGTGCCACCATGCAGTTTTCAAATTCTTTTCCTCAAAGGACATCACACACATACCAGGGGCTGTACATTCTGTATTCACTTAAACACAAATAACACAAAATAGTAATTGCAGGTGGACTTCATTCCCAGAGAAAATTGTGAATAAAACACTGAAGCACACCTGGCAGATGTTACTCATGCAGCTTAATTTGGTATGGGTAGGCATTTATTTTGAATGGTAGAAAAGCAATATGATAACACAGGTAGGATAAAAAAGTTTGTATGTTTTTGCTAGATATATAGGTTAAAATAACTTTTCAGTCCATTCCAGCTACTGAGATAGGCTGGGAAGGAATAAATGGTATGAGCAGAATCCCTCCAAGGAGGGATGGTGAGTGTTTTGCAGGGATAATTCTGAAATTCTGCTGTTAACCCACAGCTTGGAGCTCAGTGCAGGACAGACCAGCTGAAACGCTTCTAAAGAAAAAAAAACGTAAAGATGTTTAGAAATCAATACCCCAGAGGTTGCCTAGAAAATATCTGTGTCACATTATTTGTGTGTGCAAAAGCTAGCAGAATGCCTCACTAAAGCAGCACTAAGTCACCTGCAATGCTGTTTTAGATGTGATATTAACAAATCAATGTTTAGAGAAAATCTTGTCATCACAGGTCACTTTGGAGTACACTTTCTTGATGGCAGAAGACTGAAGTTGCGTAAACTAAGGAATTTAATGATTACATACGAGATCTGGACAAAAGATTTCAAAGACTTGAAAATGGTCTTAGTGGAAACCAGATGGGTGCTGGATTCAGAGTATAGCCTACATCTAAGAAATAGGAAATAAAAAAAGATTTAGAAAACCAGGGAGCAATTAATCTAAGCTTAATACAGTGTGATTTCTTAAAGTAAATCTAGAAGGAAAAAAAAAATTATCATCCGGAAATAAATACAAAGTAGGATAAAAGGCAAATCTATATTTATCAGAGAGACAATAAAAAAGATTACCTTGTGCATTTATTGAGACAAGAAATTATTCTCAGGAAAAAATTAATATAATATATTGTGTTTACCTGGACTTAAGTAAAGCAGGAAAAAAGATAGCCAGATAAATGGCTGTTGTCTTGGGGGCAAAGGGTAGAACCAGACTGGTCGTGCAGAGTCCGTGTGTGCTAAGCATGGTGTATCCCAAGCACAAACACAGACTGCAGGATGAACAGAACTAAAGCAGCCTTGAGGAGAAGGACTTGGGGTGCTCATGGATGGGAAGCTGAACATGACCCAGCAATGTGCCGGGATGCAGCCCAGGAACCAGACGTGTCCTGGGCTGCATCCAAAGCCCCGTGGGCAGCAGGTGAGGGAGTGGATTCTGCCCTTCTGCTCTGCTCTGCTCTGCTCTGCTCTGCTCTGGTGAGATCCCACCTGGGGTACTGCATCCAGCTCTGGGGTCCCCAATGTGAAAAGGATGTGGACCTACTGGAATTCCAGATAAGGCCTTGAGGATGATCAGAGAATTGGAGTACCACTCCTATGAAAACAGGCTGAGAGAGTTGGGGTTGTTCAGCCCAAATAAGAAAAGTCAATGAAACAGCCCCTTTGGGGACTTCAAGGAGCTACAAAAGAGCTGGAGAGGGACTTTTTCTAAAGTCATGTAGTGATAGGACAAGGGGAAATGGCTTTGAAATGAGACAAAGTAGATATAGACTGTGTACTGTAAATATTTTTTTTTTCCTGTGAGGGTGGTGAGGCACTGGAATAGGTTGTCCAGAGAAGTTGTGGATGCCCTGTCCCTGGAAGTGTTCAAGTCCAAGCTGAGTGGGAATCTGAGCAACCTAAACTAGAGAGAGGTTTCCCTGATCATGTCAGGTGGGTTGGAATAATATGATCTTCCAGCCCAATCCAAACTATGGTTCTATGAAGGAGCAGACAGAACCTTTGGTGCTTTTAGCAAAAGTGGATTCAAAATAGCTTCCTAAGGATACATGGGAACATTTCCCAATCTCCTACAACCCCATTGGATTGGACCCCTACCCCCCACTGGCTTTCTCCTAATGCTGAACTGCTCACCTTCACTGCTGCAGCAGCCCAATTGATGTACAAGGCTGTGCCTGCAGCCAGGGTGCAGAAAGAGACCCCTGGAGCAAGGTTCACGTCCAGTATAGTTCAAAGTTCTGCACAGCACACCTCCATGAGCAAGTGCTGCACAGCACACCTACACAAGGCGGGCTGCAATGTCACCCAAGATAGGTGCATCCACTGCTCAGGAAGAGAAGGCATCCAAATAAAGCCCAGAACAGAACCATGGAATCATTCATATTGGAAACTCTCCTAGATTTGTGTAGAAGGAGTAACCTGGACTGAGAGATTAACTGCTGGAAAGCAGTTAATTTGAGGGAGATGTCAAGATGTCCTTTTGGGCAAGGTAACTGAGTGAACCTCACCCTTAGAAATTACAAAACAATCTGCCTTGGGATAAGAGCTCTTTACTTGCTTCCAGTGTAGGAGGGGAAAGATTGTGATGTACATGATGATTTTAAGCTGCTGGCAGGATGAAGCCCTGAAATGGGCGAATGAGATTTGCTCAACCTTGTAAAATGAAAGCTGTGGTGGGATCCTGTTGCTGTTGATTGATAGGGAAGTAAATGTCAGGGAAGGGAGGATGTATAGCAGATGAAGAAGAACAGAGTATCATGTGCAGGTGAAGGTATTCAGGCTGTAAATTAAAATAATGTTGGTAACCATGATATCAAAAGTCAAAAAGATGCAAGGATGAACAAATTCTCTGAAGTTTGCATATGGGGCTTGATGCATTCCTGAAAAATATATTATATGGTTTCCTGTTTGAGAAAATAACCTGCCTTAATACATTAGACCCACACTTCCTTACATAAAGAACAGTAGCTTCCTGTTTCTACAAAACTATTTCTTGTTTTACAGCACGGAGAATGTGCAAAGCAAGAAACAATGCGTAAAGACATGAGGACATAGCCCAGTGCATGCATCACCTCCCAGCTGCCCCTGTGATGCTCTAACTCTGCTTCACAAAGGAGTCAGAGGAGCTCACATGAGGCAATTGAACATGTTCTACTGAATTCTCTAAGATCTAAACTGAGCCAGCAATGCAGAGCTCAGGGCAAATATTTCTCGTTATCTCAGAAACCAGGTGGTTATGGACGCCAGTACCACCTGGAGGGGGCTGAACAGACCCAACCCCTCTAACCTACATTTGTCATACGGGGGTAAGTACAAGACTGAAGAACCATTGATTCTGGGGGCAGCAGCTCAGGTGACTTACTCTGTTTGGCTTGCAAAATTGCTCCTGCCTTTGCAGATGAAATGTTTGTGCTCACTGCCGTGGCTGTGTAGAATGCAGTTATTTTTGAAAAGTATTATCTCTTCTCTAAAGATGAAAGAACCTACTGTATTTCTATGTGTTTATTTATTTCCCCTGCAGAACAGAGGAGAAGACTGTTAGATATAGAAAAGTATGCAGGTTTTAAAACAAATTTAAGACAGGGACCAGCCAGACGTTCTGAAGTAATCTGATCTGGTCTGATTTATTGAGCAACACAGTTTTATTCAGTTTAATAGGTTTATTTGTTCAATCCATATTAAGTGGAACTGGAGCACTGATGTTTCATAAAGACATTGGAGGCTCCCAGAGATCAAGAATCCGCCTTTTCTACTGTTGAGCAGTGGCTTCTTTCATTCATTGTACTAAGCCGTTCACTTTGTATTTTCCTTGCATGTATCTGGCTTCAGCCTACACCTGTTAATTCCTGTTTCTGTCTGCTGTTAACAATGCCCATTGGGAACAAAACTGTCTTTACATGAAGGTCTCCTTGATATGTTAGCATTGCAACCTGCTTCTGATGAATTAAGTAGATGGAACTTTTTTGGTCTCTCACATGGATCTCTGTGGCCAGATGTGCACTTCTACCCAACAGATGACTTTACAGCACTAGTCACCATCCCCTTGGAGTCAGCTCAGAGCAATGAGCCCTTTCACAGCGAGAGTTCATCTCATCCCAGAGTGAATCTTTAAACCAGACTGGATAAATGTCCCTCACAGCATTCCTATTTCTCTAGCAATAGTCAAGGAACTCTGTGCTGGCTACTTCTCATATCACAGCCTGCATTACAGACTTCTGTATTTAGGCAAGATGAGTCTGACTTTTGGACTAAGGCATTTTCCCAGGTTTGAATCATTTCCTTGGCATCCTCCTCTGCACATCACACTGATGAGGCTTTGCAGATCTCCAGCAGATGCATGGTGTCATTGCCTATGCATGAGAGGACTCACTCTCAAGTGCTGGGGGTGCACACAGGGGCAGCTCACTGAAAATCTGGTTAGGGACATAGAGCTGTATTTCAATACTTATGCAGTCCACAGTCTGTGCTTGTTATTGATCGTACCCTTTTAATGAGTTGCATGTGGCTCAGATGAGAAAATGCCTTAGTAATTGTGGTCCCCTGGAAAAAGAGCAGATTATGTAACTATTGATCTTAATATTTTTGTTCTGTAACTATTTCCCCTTTTTCTGATACTAAAAAGCGTTGCTGCATCACATGTTTCAGCTCCTTCCATCCAGCTTGGTTTAGCCATTAGCCATTCAGCTATATCTACTTGTACCAGGCTGAGCCAATAGCCCTGCCAGACAGCTGCCAGGTGTTTTATTGTTAAATAAATTCTTACATCTGTCAAGTTATAAAGCAGAAATTCATTCTTGATAGCTTTTCTTTCCTCTGTCACTTGAATAAAACATGCTAAGAATTACACACTCTCTGCAACAAATGCCAAAACATTTGTGTATCTCAGCAGGTTCCCTTTAATTCATACAAAGTTACAAAGTGTGTTAAGTGTTGGGATGTTGACCATTAATCCATTGTGGCTTATTAGGTCTGAAGGAAAGAAGTGTAATGAAAATCCTTTATCCTTGCCCAGCATCTTATCTCTGTGTTAAGAAAGGCTGGTTGGAATGTTCTCACCTGATAAATATGATTGATATATTTATATGTTGCCTACTTGCATGGGTGGCATGTAGGGCTGAGGGGGAACTTCCAGCCTTTCTGGCTGGGAGAAATAAGAAGTTTTCCCAAGAGAATCCTGCTGTTCCTTATGGAGGTCTTCCACCAAAAGCTGCAAGAGCAGTTCAGGTGAGTCCTATCTCCATCTGTTTGCCTCACCCCTCTGTTTTGCCCGTTCTCTCTCCATCCCTGTGTTCTTCCCCCCGTTCACTTACTAGCTCTGATTGCAGATACTTCCAGGAAAATGAACAGCACTTTTGGACAAATGTTGCCATTTTTACTTAGCTCTGTGTCCCCACAGATGTTCAGGCCATCCTAGAGCCAAGTTTCAGCCAACACTTGCTCTGTCATCTGAACATCTACCTCCTCTTTACGCATGAACTGGTCTGATACAGATAATGAAAGCAAATTCATGGTGACATTTATTACTTTGTCTTATCACTTGTTCTTATCATGTTCTACTGGGACAGGAAGAATGAATTGCAGCAGAGAAATTCCCCTCAAAAAAGACATTTCTTTTTGAATTTTGCTGTACACTATTGCAGTCAGTGAGCCTAGATGTGCAGGTGAGATCACACCACTCCCCTGCAGCTCCACATTGCTCTAAAAGTGATTTGTATCAATTTACTTTTAGTTGGTAGGAATCAAATTCAGTTAAATCAATATAATGTGGGCTTGTATTGGTTTGAGAAGGTTGACACAATGTGTTGTGCTGGTTTAAATAATCATTTTCAAGATCTTTGGAAGCTGTAGTTAAAAAACAGCACAGAAGCCAGTTTGAGAGCTCCAGATAAACTGAGTATTTTTAGTGGTGGATCATTGCAGGGGTAGTAAAGTCTAGGCAAAAGTGAAGATCTTGTGGGATAAATGTGAAAGTGTTAAAAACATGAAACAATTCACTAAGAATTCAAACCATGTCTGGCATTTTGAAACTAATCTTTACTTAGCTCATGTAATCCTGCTTTAAAAAAATAGATGTAATTTGTTCATTTCTTCACTTTTTCCTACTTTTTATATCAGAAAATGTTGATGATTGTCTGTTCACAGAAAATCATACAAACCCTGTGACAATTGGAATGATGTTTCCTTGAGGATAGGGGAATTTATAGAAAGAATCATTGCTTCATGTGGGAACAATCAAGCACTTTTTGGAGGCATCTTTGTTGCTTAATTTCTTTGTGCCAGTACCTTGATTTGTTTCTCAAATTTAACAAAGAAGAGTATGAAGCAACAAAAAAAATTCTAAAATTACAATGCAACCATATGGAAATATTAAGTTAAAGAAGTCTAAGCACTTAAACCAACTGTTCAGGGTATTTTACTCTTAATGTGCTTACATAAATCACATTAGTTTTTATGAGAGTTATTTTTCAAATTTATAGACTTTTTCAGATGGATCTTCATCTCCCAAGGTAGCATACTCAGAGGCTGAGTGTGTTTCTGCAAGTTAAAGTCTGTGGAATTCAAAGTTTAACTCTGACACTGGATTTGTGGATGTTATTGCATAAGCAAGTTATTCATGGACTTTTGGAAATAGCTTTTACTTTTTAGTGCTCAGTTTTAGAAAGCTGAATTGTCATTTATGAATACCCAGCATTCAAATTATGGATGTAACAAGCAATATTTGTGTGGCAGTTCTAGAACTGATCTGTGCTAAGGCTTCATCCCTAAGAAAATTTGAAGGGGAGAGAAATCACTGCCACTATTTGAGCAAACAGTGAACAGAAGTGTTGCTGTTTCACTGAAATCCCCCATTTCTGGAAATAGCTTTTTTGAGGGTGTTTTGGTTTAACCCTGATAGTCAGCTCATCCCCTCATGTGGGATAGGGGAGAGAAGGGGAAGGGTAAAAGTGAGAAGATTCGTGGGTTGAGTTAAAAACAGTTTAACAGGTAAAGCAAAAACTGCATGCCCAAGCAAAGGAATTCATTCCCCATTTCAGGCAGGCAGGTGTTCAGCCATCCCCAGGAAAGCTGGGATCCATCTGCCTACCTGGGTAGACAAACACCATCACTCTGAATGTACTTCTTCCTTCTTCTCCTCCAGGTTATACACTGAGTGTGACCCCAAATGGTCTCCAATATCCCTTGGGTCAGTTTGGGTCAGCTGTCCCTGCTGTGTCCCCTCCCAGCTCCTTGTTCCCCTACAGCCTCCTCACTGGTGGGGTGGGGAGCAGAAAATCCCTGGACTCTATGAAAGCTCTCCTCAGCAGTAATGAAAATATTGGCTTTCAGAACAAATCCAAAACGCAGCAGCAGCATATGAGCTGCTATAAAGAAAGTTAACACTATCACAGGGAAAAAATATGCAAGGCAATATCTTAGGATTTAGAAAAATAATATTTCTAAATAATATTTCTAGCTTTGATTAATTATATTAACATTTATCTACTTAAATGTTTATATAATAATATTTAAATATAATGTAAATGTATTGTAATTGTATTTTAATTTATATATACACTATTTCTAATTTTGCTAGGAACATGTACTGAATGCACCCTGAAGGTTCAGAAACCAGAATGCAACCCAAAACATTCCAAAATGTATTACAATATTGAATATATTTTAACATTGATTTGGAGATTTGGGAATGATTCACCTGGTTTGAATTTTGCATTAATGTCAAAATCAATGAGGATCTCTTGAGTACATTTGGGAGCCATGTGGGCTGACTGGTAGCCCTGCAGGGAGTTCCCATGGAACAGGCAAGGTTCTATGCCTGCAGATCACAGCATACTGAAGATCTAAGGAGAGGCTTCAGATGCTCAGTTAGAAGTCAAGAAGCAGAAACCAGACAAAGCACAGGGTTCTAAGTACATCACACATCTGCAGCCCAAACAGATTTTGCCTTGGAGCTCTTGAATTCACCTTTAACCAACCTTTTTGCATGATTGCTTATGCAGATGTGAGGTATTTTGGAGTTACAACTTGCCTTACACTTCCTGTGTACAGCTCCAGGTTCACTGTATCCAATGAGAGACAGTGTCTGAAAAGTGAATCTAAATATATTTGTAAGGTGAAAGTTCATCACAACAAGGCAACGAATAAGCAGCACAAAGAGGGGAGGTGTGCTGCCAGCTAAACCTGCCTTTGGGATAGAGGGTGGGTCCTGATTCATATTTCACTCAGTGCTTAAGCATCTTTGAAGGCTGGTTTTAACACTGTCTCACCCCGGTGAGACTTGGAAACTTCTCAGAAAAAGGAAAATAGAGCTTCACCAGAAGGTCAAAGTGAACACCAAGGAGGTTTTGTCCCACCTTTGATGCTGGCAGTGACCCACACAAACACTCAGCTCCTTGCAGCCATGAGAGGGGGCCATGAACTTCTGCCCCTCAGCAGTGCTGAGGGATGGAACACCTCTGGAACCTGCTCCTCCAAGAGGATTGACTCCTTAGGGCTGTGTGTGAAGCCTTTTCTCTCGATTGAGAGACATCAACTAACAGCTTAACTTCTGAACAAGCTCAAGGCCTAATATGTGCCCTCTGAGGCAGCAGCCAGGCCAATTTTTGGGCCTAGAGGGTGTTAGTCCTAGCTAGGACATGAGAGCAGTGGGATGAGAGGATTTCCAGGCCAAATCCAAGCTCCTCCTCTACCATCTCCTTCTCGAGGGCAGTGGGGTTATCCATCCCTTGATATCTTTACCCAAGACAGAGTTTAGGCTGGCTCTGTGCCCTCCTAAAGGGACTCATGCTCAGGCAGGAGCCGTGTGCTTGACATGGGAAGCGCTGAGGAAACGCTGCTCTACCTCATGCAGGAGTTCAGCAGAGATGACCACAAAGGCTCCTGCTGGCCTTACAGCCACTATTTACCCTCTTTTGGCCTACATAATGCCTGCTAGCATCTAAGCCTTCACTGACTCAGGGATCCTCTGCCCTTAATTTCTCCAGCATCACACCCTTGAACAGCCTTACAACTGCTGCATCTGGGTTTTAATTACTTTTCTTGCTAGCTGTAGTCTAGTTCCTACACCTTCAAAAAAGAGCATTTCCATTGAATTTCTGACTGTCATGGCTATGAAGTGGGGTGAGTTGAACTGGCCAGTGAGCACAAAAAACATACCTACCCAACTCACTGGGTTGGTGGTGTGGACTGGTGATTGTGCACATCACAAGGAGACAATGTGGACATACAGAGATAAGGGGAGAGGCGTTGCATGATTACACAGGATGTCTTTTATCTTTGAGGTCAAGTCTGCTTCCTATTTATTTTGGGGAACATTTTATTGTCTTTGTTTACCTAAGGAGTCAAACAGAGTTGTTTGACTGCAAAAACTGCAGATTGGAAGTACATCCTGAATGAGGCAGTTATCTGGATTACATTTCAATGAGGCAAACCCCACTGCTGTGTTCTAGAGAAAAGAGCAAATTCCTTTCCCGTTTTAATGGCAGGTGACATCTGTACTGCCAAATGGTCTGTTCAATGAGCTTTTTAAAATAATCACCTCAGTGTAGCCCAGATCTCATTCCCCTCTCTTTTTCCTTTGGCTGCCATGGCCTGGGAAGGGCTGTGCTGTGCCAGAAGGGCAGCAGAATTACCGTACACAGTAACAGCAGCCAGATTCCTTCAGCTTAAATGGCATTAAAATAATTCTTTCCTTGCAAGAAAAACAAAGCAAGGAAGGCTAAGAGGAAAGCCTGTGTGAGGGAGCATGGCACGTTAAGCAGCTGTCCCTCTTCTGCAGAGGGAAGTTTCATAGGAGACAGTTCTCTTCAAAATGCAGAGGTGGGACAGAGCTGAAAGCTCAGATGCATCAGTGCCTGTCCCAGTGGGCTTGTTGTTGCAAAATAGCTGTGCTGCTGTAGACTGGTTAAAACAATCTGCAAATTTATTCTAAAGTTGTTGCCTTGATGTTGCTAGAGAACTTGATATGTTGAAACCTCTCTTTTTGCAGTGTTTCCACTTTCTCATGGTTCTCCCATCTCCAGGAAAGACCTTTGAAACTGATGCCTTAAGTTTTAGCTTTCATATTTTCCAGATTATGTAGTGCATTAGTATAGAACTCTGAACTTCATATAAAGTCTTAGCAAGTTCTTTTCACAGTTTTGCTAGACAAAACAATCCTTTTCCAGCCCAAGAACCAAGAACACCACTTCAGCTTCAGGCCCAAAAAGTACAAACAACAGAGAATTGAGGAGAGAAATTTGGGAGGATGTACCGCATAACCTGAAGCTGTAATTGGATAATTAACCCAGTATGTAAATGACCAAAACATAAAAGTGTGAAAACTCATGACCAGTTGTCCATCTTGGGTGTAGCCTTGGCTGAGCTCTTTTGCTGCCCAAGGTGTATCTTTTGAAGGCCTTTTTAATATATACCTACTTTATTCCTTTAACACTGTCTAGCCTCTGTTCTAGGTAACCTCTCAAGGCATCAAAACAGCTTGAGACACTCCTTTTTCACAATACCCATGGATGAGCATTTTGTCATCACAGGTCTCCAAGAAGAACTCTCTGCAGCTCACAGCCCCCTCCTTTCTCTGCATCAGGTGTTGGAGACCACCTGAAGAGCTTCAGACTCAGTGGGAACAGAAAGAACATTCAAAGATACAACTTTCCATAGAAAAGAGCTCAAATACATCCATGGATCTCAGTTGTGGTTTTTAAAGTTACTTAAGAAAATGGGAGCTTTGATTCCAAACTTCTTAGGCAAATAAATTCCCTTTATCCCTGAGTCTTCTTTTTTTTTTCCCCTTTTCTTTTCCCCCCCCCCTAATTTTACCAAAATTTCTGCATCTAGAGACAATGCAAAATCTACCCATAAATATGTTTCCAGCCTGGCAGTTCCTATTGTTCTGACACTGATTAGTGCTCCAAGCAGCAGGTAAGTCATCTGCCAGGAAGACTATGCAAGGAGCCCACTTCTCTTTCCTCCCCTGGGCACCACACAGCTGCAGGCAGGGTGCTTGGGTAATGACAGGGTACTTCTGCAAACAGCCAACTGTGAAGTGACACATTCCTGTCAGCGGAAAACTCTGCAGATGTTCTTTAATCTCTCAACAGAGCAAACATTTCTGTGCCACCCTAGCAGGGAAACCATCTTTGTTATAGCACATCTGAGCAACTTTGTTCTTTTCCAGAATATGTTACAGCACAACTTTGTGTGTCATGGGGAGCTGCACCCGGCAGACAAGCCTGCTGACTGAGACACTACTGGACACAGATTTATTCCTGAAGAAAAGGTTGAACAAGATAAAATCCTCATGGCAGCATAGAAGTATCCAAGGCTCCAGGGAACACAAACAAGCTGCAGAGTAAAGCCAGTCACCATCAACAGCTGAGTGGGTAATTCACAGCAAACCACAGCTTTGATTAAATGCACCCTTTTCCCAGCCACAGAAAAATTGTTAAAGCTCTTGGAAGTTCCCTACTTGCTTCTAGTAATTACCAATGGAGCTCTTTATGCAGAAGACCAGTGACAGAACTGTGCATCTGTGAAATGCCCTGAAGCCCTGGAAACAAAAGATGTCACAGCATTCAAGGTATTTCAGAGACCCTGAGGACCTTGTCACTGCATGAATTCCACCTGCTTTGAAAGTCTTGCCTTTTGCAGTCAAGAGAATAAGGCAGAATTGTCCTTATCTCCTGTCTCTAAAGGCAGGAGCCTGGCAAAATGAAAGCATCATGCACAGTACATGAGCAACAAGGCTGGGAGACACGAATTATGTCATTGTTTTCTTCATAAAGATTAAAGGTCATCTGTGCTTGTCCCCTCCATACATGGAGCACGCAGGGACGTGGAGACACCCAAACAAAGTCCATAGCTACTGCAGAGCCAATGTCTCTGTGTCAGTGATATCCACATTCCCTGATCACCCAGCCTTTCCTACACGTTGGCTTCCAGTCTGGTTGTGCTCTAGAGCCAGCACTCTTCAGGCACTGCAAGAACCAGCTCACACGTGGGTATGGATTTAGCCTAAGATAGTCAGGGAGCCCACATCACCATAGTAACTGCATGCTGTTGCATTAATTTCAGCAAATAAATGAAGCTTGTAAGTTCAAGGGGTATTTATGCAGAGCGGTGCAGGACCACACAGAGAAACTGCAACAGTCTTGAACGAGGCAGCCAGGCTTCCCTGGCTTCTTTATCCTGCTTTTCAGGAGGACTGATTATCTGGTTGGAAGATTCCATTAATACGATCAGCCTGCTTTCTGTACTTGATGTGGTGTTTTCAGACATGACTTGGATATATCTACGCAGCACAAGACTGAGCCATGTAGGACCAACCAGAAGTATGAAAAAGCTTCTACAGTAATGTGCACATTTTCTAAAATTGAAGTTGCTATAGAAAAATTTAGCAGGTTTGAGTATTCCCCTTCTGACTGGTGATGTTTGTTTAGGAGCTTTTACCTATTGATAAAGGTGGAATGAATTGTTCTTTATGAGGAAAGCAAGAACTTACCTGAGGCCAGCTAGGTTCCTCATTTTGTTGCCAAAAACCCACCCACTATTCTTAAAAAAATTAAACAAAAAATACTCACCAGGGCAAACACAGGTACAAAGTTCTGGTTCATACAAGCCAACTTAAAGCCAGCTTGGCTGGGAGGGGAGCAGTCAAGCACTCTGCTTGTTGGCCACTCTGACTGCCTAAACTCATCTGTGTCTGCAGGGTGTTGACTTCCCCTTTAATCACATGTTTGCAGAAGTGTTATAAAAAAGGAGAATCTGACTAATCCAGGAACTCTGGAGTAAGAAGGAAGACAAGCATTTTTATTGGGTCTGTCTGGGATTGAGTTCATTTTCCCATGGCAGCCCTAACGGTGCTCTGCTGGGCATTGATAGATGGAAAGGTGTTGGTTACACAGCAGTGTTTGACTCCTGCAGAGCAAAGCTGGCACAGCATCAGCACTGTCTGCCCAGAATCCCCCCATCAAGGGGCTAGGAGTGGGCAAGATCCCAGGAAGGGACACAAGCAGACCAGTAGACCCAAATTAACCACAGGAACATTCCATACCGTACAAAATCAGCTATAATATAAAAGATAAGAAAAGGAGGACAAAGAGGGTGCTTTTGTTATTTACAATATTTGCTGTCTGAAAAACTGCCACCCATGCAGAAGTCTGGCTTCCTGGGAAGTGGCTGAACATCCCTTGCTGGTGGGAAGTAGAGAATGCAATTATTTTTTGTCTCTTTGCTTCAGTGCATGTAAACTTTTGCTTTTGCTTTAGTAAATTGACTTATCCCAACCTATAAGTTATTTTCCATCTTATTTTCCCTCTGCTGAGAAGAGGGAGTGATAGAGTGGGCACCTGGTGTTCAGCCAAAGTCAACCCACTACAACATTGAAAAGAATGAAAATGAAGAGGAATATTGGCATAAATAATAAATATTCTGAAGATGGCAGAGGTTCCAGAGATGGGGCATCCACAACTTCTCTGGGCATCTTGTTCCAGTGCCTTACCACCCTCACAGGGAAGAATTTCTTCATAATATCTAATTTAACCTATTCTCCTTTAGTTTAAAGACATTGCTACATGTCCTATCTCCATCTGCCCATGGAAAAAGTTCCTCTCCAGCTCTCTCATCGGCCTCCTTTAGTTGCTGGTAGATGTTTTAATGTCCTTTGAGAGACTTCTCATACCCAGGCTAAATAGCCCCAACTATATCAGCCTCTTTATCCATAGCAGAGGTGCTTCAGGCCCTGATCTTCACCCTCAGAGCTCACTCCAATAAGTCCACACCCTGCTTCTGCTGGGGGCCCCAGAGCTGGATGCAGCACTGCAGGTGGGGTCTCACCAGAGCAGAGTAGAAGGGGAAAATCATCTCCCTTGACCTGTTGCCCACACTGCTTGGAATGCAGACCAGGGCACAGTTGGTTTCCTGGGCTGCCAGAGCACATTGCCAGGTCACCAAACCTTCCAGCAATCAACACAGCCAAGCCCTTCTCTTCTGGGCTGCTCTCAATCCATGCTTCTCCCAGCCTGTGTTTGTGCTTGGGATTGCCTTGACTCATGTGCAGGACCTTGTACTTGGCCTTGCTGGCCACTCAGCGTTGTCTTGTTTTTGTGTTTGAGTTTGTCCAGGAGCTTACACAATTCTGTCCTTCAGACCACCAAAAGGATTGTATTTCTGAGGCACTGTCCTCCTGGCAGTGCATTCATCCAGAAGCGGGGCAGGATACACCTGTCATGCTCACAGCTGCCCAAAAAGTTCTTCCACCCCTGATATTTTGGCAGTGACTTGGGAATGTCATCTGAGGGAGGGCTTCAGACTGCCAGAAGCCTTAAGCCTCTGCTAGCTGCAGAACTCCACTGGGATGATGTTCATACAAAATGGGAGATGGTGTGAGGACAGCCCCCAGCCATGACATTCCTTTGAATGTTGGTTGGGAGTTTTTTTCAGCTTACTGCAAACTCAATCAGCATGTAAATAACTAGAGGTTGGAGAATGTATTTTGGAGGGCTTTATCTGCAGAGGGCATGAAGGTAGTTTGAAACATCCCTGACCTGTAATTCACATGGACCAGATGAACTCTGCAGCCTGATTCATCATCAAGAGTATTCTGATCATGTCCTCTTTGCTTATATGCAATATAAGGAAGTCGGTTTGTTTTCTTTTATTTAAAAAAATGTCATGTTCAGAAGCCTGATTTCTTTTGCCTGCAAAGCTATCCATTTTCCAACAAACCCTCCAGCAGCACAGGCAGTGATAATTCAGGTCACAGGTTTTGACAGAGAAACCACATCGTCAGCAAGTCACTGCTAATGAAAATGGTTTTTTCTTCCTCCTTGTCCATTTCTTCTTATGTCCAGACCTCTGCTGCTTGGAGTGGGAGTAAAAGATTTGTTGCAGCTGTATCTTAGGAACCCTCTAAATCTTTGCATGGGGCTGCCCTTTTGCTGAACTTTTAAATCCACAAAGTGGGGGTGAATTCAGGACATGAACAAGGTGAGCAGCAAAGTCACACCCCATGCTGGGAAGTCTGCAGGAGGCATCATGCAAGAGAGGGAATTTCTGAAGGCATCTCCAGGGTCTCTGCAGGGGCTGAATGAGGATGTGGGATGGTGGGAGCAGCATAGCACAGGGCAAGTCCTGGTTTCCACACAGAAATTCAGGGATGTTTTGGCTGCCCCTCAGCTAATGTGGCAGAGGAAAGGAGGACACATTCTTCCTGTTGCTCCCACTTGCACAGAGATGGGTGAACATACGACGATGGATTTACAGCAAACTTGGCATTTTTCAATCACATCATGATGTTCCACCCCAGAATCAGTGCACCCAATGTCTGTTTTTTTCAGAAAATTAAACCAAAAAGCTCAAAGGAGAGTGAGAATATACTAGACAGCAGGTCCTCTAGTGCATTGACTTCAGCACCTGTGTGAGCATCCTGAGAGCCCAGGGCTGAGTTGAGGCCACAGACAGGTTCTTGGAAGCAGTCAATTGCTACTGCCAATGTCATCTCTATAAATCAGCTATATCTCAATTGATTTCAGTGACATTCTGCTGGATTTATACCTGAGAGCAGACACTGACCTTAAGCACATGGTCTGAACAGGGCCATTGCCACTCAGCTGAAACCATTTGGAGGTTTTCCAATGCCATTTGATTGGCATTAAGACTCGATCCATAATGGGAGAGTATATAATAGCCTGAGAATAGAATCAAATAAATCTAATCTGGGTCAGATCCTCAGACAGGGATGTTGATGGATCATAAGCCAGTTTAGTGCAGGTTTCAATTAAAAATAAGGACATTGCTCTTTAAATGTCACTGTGAAAGGCCCATATTTGATTGCATAATAATAATATTTTAATTTGAGCTTGTTCCTCAACAGTACATATCTTCCTTGCTCATTAAAATTAATAAGCTACTTTCTGTGGGAAAGACAATGCCCACACCTGTGTTTCAGGATGAAGGTGATAAGAAAACAAGGATGACATGACAGTTCAGGAATGCTCAAAGACCTTCCTCACCTTAATGCAATGCAGAGTACAATTTTGCACAGCTCCTTAGCTGGAGCAGTTCCCTCCCCTGGGCTCTCCAGTCTCTAATTTCTATGACCCTGTGAATTTAGTCTACACACAATGCGTGACTGATGCTTCTACACAGGATAAAAAAAAAAACAAACCCACATTAATTTTTTATTCTCACCAACCACAAAACTAGAAAACTGCTCCCAATATTGTGTGAAAGTTCATCCCTGGAAAGACATTTGACTTTGGTGGGTGGATTTGATCACAGGTTAGGTTTGAGAAGGCAGGAAGGAGGAAGGCAGCAAAATGTTGTCTAGATTAGAGGAGTAATTACACATTCTCCCTTCAGAAGAGAGGAGATTGGTGGGATGTAAATGGAGGAGAGAGAAAGGGAAGACGGGCTATGGAATCCACAGATCAGACAGACTCAGGACTGATGGATACAGCTGATACAGCATCCTGGGGTTTATAGCTGGGCTCTCCATTTCCCTCCCTTTCCTTCTTTCCGTGGCCTTTCTGCTGAGGCAGTGATGTTGGGCTGAGAGAGCTGGAAATCATTTCCCATCTGTGCCTAGAGCTGGAAATCATTTCCCATCTGTGCCTAGAGGTGTCATGGCAGTGGCAGTGGCTGCTGCTGGGGCAGGCTGGATCCAGCAGTCAGGAGGAGGAGAGTCTGGCACAGCTCCGTGCCCCAGCTCCCAGCAGCATCCCTGGGCATGCATTCCCTGCAGGTACACACACACAGAGGGCACACCTACACACCATATATTTACACAGGCACATAAATCCTGGACATGCAGGTTACAGACACACAGAGAGCACTCATGAACACAGTAAGCACCAGTGCTGGCACTTGGAGATGCCAGTCGCTGGGATCACAGCCCCAGTTCAGTTGTTATCACAGACCAACTTGCTCACACAGAAAGCTCTCTGGGACTCCCCTGGTCTCTCCAGACTCCTTTGGTCTTGACCTCAGAGGCTTGCTGGTCCACTTGCTCCCAGGCCATGTCATCTGCTCCCTGGCTGGTCCAGCTCCAGGTTCCCTGGTGACCACAGACTCCAAACCCTGCACCACTGACATGGGAATGCCATGGGTCCTGGTCCTGTTCCAAGTTGCTGCACTTGGAGCTGTCCCCATATACAAGCAGAGAGTCTCTCACACAGAAAAAGGGGGGTTAATTGAGGTTTGACATGGTGTTTATTGAGAAGACAGGAGAGATAGCATTCATGAGGCACAGAGCATGGCCAGGCAAGCATAGTGTCCAGTGCCCTGTTTACACTTGACTAGCCACTTTATCCCCGTATCCATCTATCTTCCAATGCTTGTTCCTCCCTAATCCTTGCTAATTCTTTCTTTTCCCTGCCTTTGGTTATCCCTCTCAGCACCCCCTAACAAGCCTTGCACAATCCAAAGATATTGTTCCCATGCAGAGACCCTTCTCAATCAATGAGACCCAGAGAGGTGCTGCCCACAACAGGGATGCCAATCTATGTCCAAAGCTCCTTTTGGACAGCCCTGGCAGGTGTTTGTGCCTCTGGCTGGGGTACTGGGACTCCCCTATATCTCTTGTGCCTCCTGTGGGTGTGGAGATGAGCTTTTTGTGATGAACAGTTGCAAGGAGAAGATGGAAGAAGGCAAGAATTGAATGTCCTAGCATGGGAGTTCTGCACTGATCATGGGTCACCATAATGGCAAATCCAAGATGGAGTACAAAGAACAAAAACCTCTAAAAAACAACCAAACAAAAACAGCACCAACGACAACTATAACAAAAAAACATGCTTGCACATTTATAAAATTTTTTTCATTAATCATAAGAGCTTTGGGGAAGGGTCTGACTGTCCCAACCCACTGAGCCTCCACACTCCTGCTTGGTCTCAGATGACAAGGGCTATCATCCTTCAGTGCTGTGTAGCTTTTGTGCAAATGCGCTTCCTCCCAACACCTGACAGTGTTGCTGCTGTGAGGTGGGTGGAGAAAATTAATTATGAAAATGGGAAGAACAGGAATCCCAGGAGTAAATAGGACACTGTGAGCAGAGCTGAGGTTTGTGGACTTCTGTATTGTTTTGTTTAAAACTGGAGCCTACAACTATTCCCTTGTATGCTGCAGCAAGCCAAAGTTAAACTTGGGTTGACTAAGGCTCATTTTCACACTAGCTTAGGACAAATTTTCAGGATGTTTAGATATTAAACTTTCACTAAAAAAATGACTTTAAAAAGCTGTCTCTGAGTCTTCTTCACTGCATAAGAAGAGATTTGGCC